AGGTTGAGCCTACAATCTCTCTGTCGACTTTTATGGAGTGTTTAACTTCCTTTAAGGCTCTTTTCTTTTCTTTCCAAGTTGCATTTTGAAGTGATACTTCTTTTATTCTTCCGCCATTACCAACGTCATTTGTTTTCCATTAGTGCAACTTCATTTTCAATGACCAGGTAGTGTTTTCCCACAGACGGCGCCAAAATGATGTGGTACGATTCCACGTCACGTTTTGCAATTCCTCCGTCGCACTTCTTGATTCCTCGCGTGGACACTACCTGCATCACAAAAAGTCGTTAGGGCGCCGGGATTGGTCCCGGCGAAAACCCTCTGACGCTCAAGTCAGCTTTGTATGATAGAAGAATTCAGAGACTTCAAGAGACTGCTCGGGAGTTATGAATTGCGTACCTTTAATTGTGAGGTTTCCGAGTATTTATATGGAGATATATATTCTCATGGGCCTAAGCCACTTAACATGGGCCGACTTGGGCCTAACTGTTTAGATCATTTCAGTTTGGACCTTAGCCAACTTGGGTTTGTATTATTATCTTTAGTCGATTTGGGCTTGATTTGTGTGCCTCTATGGGCTTGTCGATATGGGCCTTTGGGTGTGGACCCATCACAATTCAACAATCGGATTTCACTTTTTTTCTCATTATGTTTTGTGCCGTCTTTCAGATTTGATGAGATCGAGTCGATAATGATTTTGTTTCTCAAGTTTTCAGGTTATAAAGAAAAAGGTAACATCATCACTTCCTTTTGTAGTATTTATTATCAGCTGCTGCGAATGGTGTTTTTCGCAGACGTACAGTTTCTCCCGATATCTGGTCTTAAGGGGACAAAAGTGTATGTCCGTGGTGGGATGGTCTGCGCCTTTTTGAAGCTCTCGATTCTATTCAAGTTCCATCACGCGCGTGATCCAAAAGCTCCATTCAGGTATAACCCGATGATCCGTACGATAAATAGTATAATGTTTCGGCTCAGTCGTTGAGGCATGCGAGATTGTCGAGTTGATGCCACAAATCAATCAGCAAACCAAGGAAATAATGAAGAAGAAACCCACCTTTGTTAAGCAAGGTGATCAGGTTTTATGCCGTATTCAGGTAAACATTTTGCTATTTGAAATTATATGTGTTTGTACGGCCTCGTTTGATTGCCAATTAAAGATTAAATAATCTAATGAAAATCCAATTACTTTAATAGACCCTTGAAGGTCCAACAAAAATGTTTCCTAAAAGGCAGAGTTAATAGCACCAAACCCCCTGTGTTATTTCTAATTGCCAAAAACCCCCCTGTGTAATAAAAATTAGCAACGATCCCCTTATGTTCTATTTAGTAGTGCAAATCGCCCATTATTCACCATTTGACTGTTTACTTAGCTTAAATGACTGTAATACCCCTAATACATAAAGCACAAATATACCCAAAACACCAATTTGTTTTCAATTTACATAAATAAAGTTAAATTCATTAATTAAATACCTTCTTCTTCTTCCAACCATCGCTTCCATCGCCCCAAATGTATTTCGCAAGTTAGTGATAGGTAAAACACTGACTCAATCGTCGGAAAACAAAATGGTGCCCTCGCCGGAGCAATCAAACTCTAACGGTGCCGTTCGAGATTTTCCCATTCAGTATTGTACCCCACCCTGACCTTCTCTTCCCAATCAATTATCTTTTGTGTGCCACCATCTTCACTGAGGTCAACCCATTTGGAGCAGAATATCGTAAGAAGAAGAGCAGAATATCGTGAGAAGAAAAGAGTGTATCGGGATGTTGTGCTGCAAGGAAAGAAAAAGAAAAGGTTTTCTCGGCAAATTTCTGAAAATTTCAGTTGGAATTTCCGGTCGGAAATTTCAGGAAAAAAGCTTAAAGCTCAGCTTTCAAATTTCCGGCCCTTCCCTTGATTTGGTTTGATGTAGAAAAGAGCTTCAAGCTTAGAATATTGGTTGGTTTTTTGCTGGAAAAAAACATGAGGGAATGGAGTGATTTGTCTAAGAACAAATTCCGTCGGGAAAAAAAATATGTCGGAAAAGCGTTCGGAAAATCGTATCGTTTGGTCAATTTCCGGCTAAGGGGCGCCATCGGGGTAGGATTTTGTGTGGGTTGTGCGTGAAAATGGTGGAAAGTTTAAACGGGAGTGAGATAATTTGGGGAGAGGGCGTTTTGAAATTGCCAAGGACTGAATTGAAAATTCTGAAACTTTCATTTTGGGTAATGAAATTTTTGGGGTTAATCTGTAATTTCAATTTTTATGATTTTAAGGGTATTTAGGTCTTTTCAGGTTAGAACACGCACCCCAAGCCGCACAATCCGCGCGTGAAGAACACGATAACCCGTTAGGGACCTTATTGGCTTTGACTAACTTTCATAGGGGGGTCCGTGCTAATTTTTTTAACAGAAGGGGTTTTTCAGCAATTAGAGTTTACACAAGGGTGGTTCTTGCAAAAAACCCCTAAAAGGCATGATAACATAATATTTCCGGATCGACCCAAAAAGTTACTGGGTGTACCAAACGAGGCCTAAGTGTTTAAAATATGGTTATTTTTTTTTTTTTTTAATAACTTGATATGCATCGAAAAGTTCTCTGATTTTCGGCAGCTTGGGCGATTCACTCTTCGTACAGAAGGGAAAACAATTGCTGTGGGAGAAGTAACTCGTCTCGTCAGTCGAGCGTATAGGAGTAGAAACTGGAACGGAATTTTCGAATACCGCCGACTATTTATAATTTGGAACAATATTTTTCATTATGATTTCCTTTTTTCGAAAGTTTTTTTATTCTGTTATTTTTTATTTTTCCGAATATATGCATATATGTATGTATGTAATTGTGTACAAATTTATGTGAGACATTATACTAGTGTAATTGGCCCAAAATTGAAGAAATTTGTGCCTTGGGGAAAATAATTTTTAAAATCAAATTAATGGGACAAATGTAATTGTTTATGATTGGGTCATCATCAAAGACTTTAACTAATTACCAATTTAATTACTTAATTATGGAGTGTGATGCAGTTGATATGATGTTTCCTAGTATATTTTGTTTGTTATTGTTGAAAGAAAATGATGTCTAATAATTCATTAACTTATGTTTTCCCATAAAAAAATATTCAATGTATACCTTCCTTGCAAGCAAACAAAACAAAATTGCATTCACTTTACTGCAGTTATCCTAATAAAAATGGTTAATTATGGCCACCTCTGAGGTATAGTGTAATTACGAAAAAACCCATTTATATTCGGATAATTACAATCACATACACGTCCACCTTTGCGGCGCCAAATTTAGTGAAATATTTTAATTTATATGCAATATTTTCCAATTTGTACCCGTTTTACCCCATTCGAGCTCCATATTTTGAAACAAGATGATCATAAAATGTGTCTATTGGATTGTAAATATTACAAGATTGTGGTGCATCATAAGCTTCATTTTTGAACAAAACGAGTACAAACTACAAAAAAATCCACGGAATCTAAAAGATTATATGTTGAATTTGACACCCAGACAAGATGAGTTTTTTTCCGTAATTTTACTTCACCTCATGGCAGTGGCTGTAATTTACCCCAATAAAAGAACATGAAATATCACCATTATGGTTATGTAAATTAAAATTTAAATAGCTAGTGAATTACTCCCTCCATGCTAACATATGTGTCAGCTTTGAGTTTTTGAGCACATATTAAGAAAACTAATAAATGTGGGTCGATTTTAGAGAAAAATATATAAAATGACTAAAATATCCATGTTATTAATGTTATTTCCGTTAATTCTCAGTCAATTAATGAATACTAATAAAGATAAAATTGAGAAAATAGTAATTAATGCATTATTGAAAAATCTAAATTGACAGATAATCTAAACCAAGAAAAATCCCTCAAACAGTTAACTTGGAACGGATGGAGGGAGTAATTAATTATTTTCCAAAATTAGTATTTGAAATTAATTTTTTTGAGCTTAATGCATAATATTAAATTGGGCTAAATACAGTTTGCACCCTTAAACTATAGGGGTGGTAACACTTACCCCCTTAAAGTTACAAATGTAACACTTACCCCCCTCATTAATGAATTTAATGATAAAACTTTGACTTTGAATGATGTGGCATTTTTTCTTCCCAAATTGTCCTTCTAGCTATTATATTGATGCATATATAATAAAATATTCTCAATAATATTTCAAAAACTAAATTTTATAAAATATAATTATTAAAAAAATATTTTGATTTATGTTTAACTCCACATTTTAGTTACTATAGACCCTAATATAAATAAAAATCTCAATATTTTAAAAATATATTAAATACGTTAAACATTTGAAAGAAAAAAAATATTTTCAAGGCTTAAATGGCCAATTTTTTTTATGATAATTATTGATTTGAAAATTTATTTTAGTTACTTAAATATAAATTTTAATAAAATAATATTTAAATATTTAGACGTTTAAATTATAATTTCTTATTAACTTTTGAATACATTTTGTGATTCTCAAAGTAAAAAGTGGGATGATTATATTAGAGTCATATACGCATTAAAAAAACTATATAAACTATAAAATCATAATTAAAATTCGAATAATCGTTAACTTTTTATTAGCTACAAATGAACACAAGATAAAACAAAAATACACTAAAATTCAATTTTTTTCATTCATAAATTTACAATATTGAAATAATAAAATTAAGTTTTGGCAAAGTTGTCGAAATTTTTATTATTACATATTCATTATTTTTATTTATTTAATGGCTAGAAGGACAATTTGGGAAGAAAGAATGCCACATCATTCAAAGTCAAAGTTATACCTTTAAATTCATTAATGAGGGGGGTAAGTGTTACATTTGTAACTTTAAGGGGGTAAGTGTTACCACCCCTATAGTTTAAGGGTGCAAACTGTATTTAGCCCTATTAAATTTACCAGCAACCAATGAATAATAAGCGTCAAAATTCAAATTGCAATATTAATTATATATTGCATTATTGTCTGAACAGTCATTTTAAATTATAAGGTTAATCTCTCCCTTTCTCCTATTTGTTTATTTTTTAGTAATAATCTTCAGTTTTGGTCCCATCACCATCGGAGCTCGGAGGTGAAAAAGACCGCATTTTTCGCATCTGGGCTCTCTCAATTTACTTCATTTTCGTTAGGAATCTTCTGGGTTTTTTCAATTATCGCTCTCTTTTTTTTTTTTTTCTTTTTTTCTTCAAGGGTTTATAGATAATTTAATCTGCTGAACACGGGTTGCACGCGTACCTAGGTGTACGGATTCCGTTATGCTGTATTGATATACTGCTTTGAGGGTTTTATCTACTTACCAGACTCCTCAGATTTGATTCAATTTTGTCTGAAGGCTGCTTCGTCAGGTACCAACAAACACTTTTCCCTTTTCATTTTTAGGTTTTCTGACCTTTCTAATTGATTATTAATAATATATTCATTAATGAAATTCAATTCTGATTTCAAATTATGGTTTATCTCTGAATTAACTCTTTACTAGGATAGTTATAAACAGCTTCCAAAGATTCTTGCTTGTCATTCAATTCTAATTTCGATTACGGAATTACGATGTTTCGTTTTAATGAATTTTGCGGAAATTGTTTACTGATCTAAGAAAAATTATGCAACTATTTGTTCGATAGGCGAAGATATAGATGAACCAAATAGATATCGAACCTGAAGAAGATTACAATGACTTGGCCAAGAGGGAAGGTCAAGAATCGACCCATACGCAAGATGAAAATCCCCGTGCAGCGACGAACAAAAGAAAGTTAACACCAAAGGTACATTAATTTGCCAGCTTTAGTACCATGTTAATAGTTATCTAGGATAGTGTAATCCTGTCTGAATTTGATCTCAGTTTTGTAGGCTACGATAGTCGATAAACGCAAATTTTTTTTTAATTTTTTTCGGGTACCATTTTGCAGTTTCTGTTGGCAAGCTTTCCACCGTCGCTAATACTAGCTTATCAAAGCTTCGGTGTAGTATACGGAGATCTGAGCACTTCACCCCTTTACGTTTACAGAAGTATATTCATCGGAAAGTTGCAGGATCACCAAAATTCCGAAACGATATTAGGGGCGTTTTCGTTAATCTTTTGGACCTTAACTCTTATTCCCCTCCTCAAATATGTCATCATTATGCTCAGTGCCGATGATAGTGGCGAAGGTATATCAATAGCCGATAGCCTCTACTAAAATATTTCGATCCAACTTTTTTTTTTTAATATATATTTTTACAATCTTATTGATTCACCTCAGGTGGGACATTTGCACTTTACTCACTTCTGTGTAGACACGGAAAATTCAGTTTACTACCGAACCAACAAGCGGCTGATGAAGAACTCTCTTCTTACAAGTACGGTTCGTCTGGACAGTCTTCATCGTCTGCAGCAATGAAGAGATTTATCGAGAAGCATAAGAAATTTAGGACTGGTTTATTGCTCGTGGTTTTAATGGGGGCTGGTATGGTGATTGGTGATGGTGTTATTACTCCTGCTATGTCAGGTATGGTTTTAGATAAGATCGAGTCGAAACTATTTTGATGTTGGAACGCATAATGGTGGAAATTGGTACGGAATCTCCGAATTCTGCCGAATAATTCTGATTTGGAACGATATTTTTTCATTCTGAATTCCGTAAAATATTTCCTATTTTTTTTGATATTTTAAACGGAATTGGAATATAGATTTTGGTTTTCGAATCCATTTTACTTTTCCGAAAGTTCTGATTTTTCCCGGGAATTCCAAATTATGCTTACGATATCGATAATATTATGTATTTATATTATAAGTGGCTAAGAAAATGGAAATTTCAAATCCGCCCTATTCTGTTACGAATATCTTCAATTTTGGAACAATAGTTTTCATTCTGATTCCGATTTTAATTTCTGAAAAACCGATTTTTTTTTCTTCTGAAAATTAGACTTACAATATCAATATTATTGTGTATTTTAAATTATACGTGATGCTGATTCCGATCCAAACATTTCCGATGTTTGAACATTTCTTTTCATTCCAACCAATTTCCGATATTTGTTTTTTTAATGGAATTGAATTAGTTGAACTTCCGAAAAAAAAAGGATTTTTTTCTGAAACTACCATTGTCAAATTTTAATTTTATTTGCAGTACTATCGTCTGTATCGGGGCTTGACGCTGCTCAGAAAAGAATACCTAATGGTATGCCCGGTTATTACATATTTTTCCTTATTTTTCTCTTTGTTGCTAATTGCTATTACGGTAATAATTGGAACAATCTTTTTAATCCACAGGTGCAGTGCAATTTATCTCTTGCGTCATATTGGTTGGCCTGTTTGCTTTGCAGCACTGTGGGACCCACAAGGTGGGATTCCTGTTTGCGCCGGTAGTTCTCATTTGGCTGGTTTCGATTTTCGCCATTGGTATATATAATGTTATTAAGTGGAACCCGAAAGCTGTGTTTGCTCTTTCTCCGCATTATATTATTAAATTCTTTAAGCAAACCGGTAAAGATGGATGGATTTCACTTGGTGGGGTTCTCCTTTCCATAACAGGTAATAATAATATAGACTCGACTTTTTTGTCCCTTTAGAATATCGTTTTTTGTGCGCTCGTGTTTATGTTATTCGACATGTAATTCACTTTACTATTTCCCAATTTATCCCGATTCCGATACAAACTTTTCCGATTTTGGAACAATATTTTTCATTCCAAATTCCTAAAATTCCGATTTTTACGGATTATTTTGGATCGGAATTTGAATGTATATTTGCTGATCCAATTCCAATTCTGAAATTCTATTTTTTTCCCGATAATTACACTTGTAATATTAATATTATTATTTATTTTATATTTAGGCAATAAAAAATAGGAATTTCCGAATTCCCTCGATTTGATTCGAAAATTTTCGATTTTGAAACAAGTTTTTTTATTCCAATTTCAAAATTTCCGAAATTTCAATTTCCAATTTCCAAATTTCCTTTTTTTTTTGAAAAAAAATGTAATTATTGTTTGTTACTTCCGAAAATAATCGATTTTTTTTCGAAAGTTCTAATTTTGATTCGATTCGTCAGATATCCACCCCTAATTGAGGATGATGAATTGCTTTCCTGTTGAATATAATTAATGCCCATATTTTTGTGGCCAATCAGGTACCGAAGCAATGTTTGCAGATCTTGGCCATTTTTCTGCAAGCTCAATACGGGTAAGCCCCGTTTTTTGAAGTTGCAGCAGTTCCAAATATTAATTTCTAATATGAATATTTTTGCATTTACAGATTGCTTTCGTATTCCTCGTATACCCTTGTTTGGTTATGCAATATATGGGGCAAGCTGCTTATCTGTCAAAAAATATCTCCTCAATTCCAAATAGCTTCTACGATTCAATTCCCGGTTAGTATGTGTGTGTGTGTGTGTGTATATATATATATATATATATATATATATATATATATATATATATATATATATATATATATATATATATATATATATATATATATATATAGATATAGATATATTTGGATATCGTTTTATCCATATTTTGTTTTCTAAAAAGTGTCGGCTTTTTCTTGCAGGTAGTGTATTTTGGCCTATGTTTGTAATTGCGACACTTGCAGCTATTGTAGCTAGTCAAGCTATAATCTCAGCCACATTCTCGATTGTTAAGCAATGCAGTGCGCTTGGTTGTTTCCCTCGTGTTAAAGTCGTACACACCTCAAAACAAATCTACGGTCAGATATACATACCGGAAATTAATTGGATTCTCATGATTCTTACTCTTGCTGTTGCCGTTGGCTTCCCCGACATTACTACCATCGGGAATGCATATGGTAAGCCGAATATGTAAATATAATACCCGGAAAAAACCCTAATTTAAAAATCTTATATCCAAAAAGTCCCCGAATAAATTATCATCATTAAATATAATAGTCAATTCTTGATAATAAGTTATAATTAAACAATTTTCTTAGATAACGTACATTCTTAATTAATTGTCTTCCATCAAAAGCAAAATAAATCATAATTTATTATTATGAATCACTCATTATTTTTTAAATTAAGTATCATTTCTTGGGAATTTCTATATTTTATTAATATTGGTACTGTTAAGAAATTGTTGTTTTTAGTATCCTGTTATCCTTTTCGAAAAGAAAAAAAACGCAACTCCTTTACTACCGATTTGTTCTTAAATCAAATAATTTATGTTCTAACAAGTCTCGATTTTTATTTGTTTTACAGGTCTAGCTGTAATGTCGGTGATGTTCATCACGACATTTCTAATGGCACTCGTAATGGTCATCGTTTGGCAAAGAAGTTCGATTCTTGCCATTACATTCCTCGTTTTCTTCTGGTTCATCGAAGCCGCTTACTTATCCGCCGCGTACGTGAAAATCACACAAGGAGGATGGGTCTCCCTCGTACTCTCTCTCTTCTTCATGTCTCTCATGTTCGTTTGGCATTACGGTACTCGAAGAAAATACAATTTCGATCTACACAACAAAGTCCCTTTAAAATGGATCCTAGGCCTAGGCCCAAGCCTAGGCATAGTTCGTGTACCCGGAATAGGCTTAATATACTCCGAATTAGCAACCGGGGTCCCACCGATTTTCTCTCACTTCGTCACTAATCTCCCGGCTTTCCACAACGTGTTGGTTTTCGTGTGCGTGAAGTCCGTCCCGGTTCCCTATGTCTCCCCCGAGGAGAGATTTCTCATCGGACGAATTTGCCCCCGGCCGTACCGTATGTACAGATGCATCGTGAGGTACGGGTATAAAGACATGCAAGGAGACGATGGTAATTTCGAGAACCAACTCATTCAAAGCATAGCGGAGTTTATCCAAATGGAGTCGGTCGAGCCTCGATTCTCGAGCCCAGATGCTTTGTCGTACGACGGGCGGATGGCCGTGGTGAGTGCTTCTAGGACATTCGAGTCCGTTTCGAGTTTGATTGTGTCGGAGGTCGAGGAGTGTGGCGATAGCAATTTCGATTCGATCCGGAGTAGCAAATCTTCAACTTTGCGAAGTCTGAGTTTGGGTCACGACGAGGAGAATCCTAGGGTTAGGAGGAGGCAAGTGAGGTTTAGTGTGCCGGAAAATATTGGGATTGATCCGTGTGTGAAGGAAGAGCTTTTGGATTTGATAGAGGCGAAGGAATCGGGAGTTGCGTATATAATGGGACACTCGTATGTGAAGGCTAGAAGGTCGTCTTCGTTTTTGAAGAAATTGGTTATTGATTTCGGCTATTCGTTTCTTCGGAAGAATTGTAGGGGTCCCGCTGTGGCGCTTCACATTCCTCATATTAGTCTTATTGAGGTTGGAATGATATATCATGTCTGAAAAAGATTTGTCGAGGAATGTTTGGTACTCTTTTACATGTGTCCAAATAAGATTGTTTTGTGAAACAGAGAAATGTTTTTTTCTTTTGGGGGTGTATCTTTTATGTGTATGTATATATAGGAGACTTATTTGGATTCGGGTTTTTCATGTCGGAAAAACATCTAGAAAGGGTAGTTTTGGATATTGAATAATGCTCGTGTTTATGATGAAATGCAGGATATGCAACTGTGTCCTGTTGTAAAATATAACTCCGATGAAGTTCATTGTGATATGTAAGTAACATAAACAAACTATGATTATTTTATGACCCTTTCGTTTGTTTATACCGGAAAATCCTCTACTCCGAAGCTTGTGTTCGATTGACCAATAAAAAACCCTGCTTTCATTTTGATTGAATGTAGATTCATTTTGATTGAACCACGTAAACCTTTCCTTTTCATTTACTACACTTCGAATCTCTGAAATTAGGGTTTATTGAGGATAAATACAAGAGTAATTTTCATTTAGTAAGGAATCAAGAAGGGTAAAGATTTGATGAAGAAAGAAATCTTAGATGCGGTTCCCAGGTATCAGTACAACTTTCTATGTCACAAATCTACATAAAACGGACGACGGCCGAAAAATAATCAAATTGACAAATAAAAGTTACTGCCCAGTCTCAAGGGCAGTTATGTAATTTAACATACCAACATCTACCGGAGTTCTTCCTCAGCCACCCATTTCTCAATCGCGCCCACCCAAGTACGTATATTTGATCACCGAAACATATATTACGTCTGACAAACTCTCATTAATTTGGAACCACAAACGATAACCTGAGACTGCCAAGCTGGCACAACCTCGCCGGATTTTTGTAGACAGTCACCTTCGCCATATTGTCATCCGCTAAAACGACATGCGCAATGCTGAAAGACTCACCTTTCTCGATCGCAAATTGCCACTCCCTCATTGATATAAGGAACCAATTCTTTTTCACGGATTTGGTCGCTTTAACTTCAATATATTCCCTCGTATTTTCATCATCTCCCAACACAATATCATAAGGTAGGCCAGTCTCGTTTTTTTCATTGACCCAGTTCACACAAGCCTCGCCTAATTTATCCACGAAATATTTCGAAGCCACAAGCTCCCCTAATCTCCCTGTAAGTTGCATCTGCTCTGCAAATACTTCATCTCTGTCCGTACAATTTGTTGTAATAAAAGTGCTAGAATTGTTCGACCGGGTCTCGGAAATATCCGCATCGGGTGAAACTGATCCTTGAGCAATAGCAATTGTCTTTGGATCAACCTCAATATTGAATTCGGTGCTGATTCCAGAAATAGATATATCAGATTGTTCGATATTTTTGTCGCCAAAAATACCCTCTCTTGGTTTTTTCAAACCAGATGCACTTGTGGAACTGAAACCAGGGGCGGTTTTCCAATCGACAGGTGGCCAATTTGAGATGTTGAGCACCGTCGGGGTCCGTTCCTCAATTTTTGTAGAAAGACAATTTTCCAGCAGTGATTTGACCGCTGCAAAAAGTTTCTTCACCCAAAACAAAAACAAACATATATCAATCAGTCAAAGAAAAAAGCACATGCATTTCCACTTTCACAAACTGTTTTCATAGCTATATCTGAAATCAAGATATTACCTCGTCTGCATTGCTTCCCTGGCATATTTCCTTCCAAGTTTTAACAAACATCCTTAATGATTCATCGGAGAGAGGATGACAACCTATCTCCTTAGTACCAGAGCTTATTGGCTCGATTGTTGGCTCGACTGATGGCTCGATTGTTGGCTCGACTGATGGCTCGATTGTTGGCTCGATAATCACATCAACCACGTTCCTTTTATTCTTTTTCTTGCGAGGCAAAGAAGCGCTGCAACTCATCTTCTCGTGTTTCCTCTTCCTTTTGGAACCCAGTCTTTTAATTTCTTCCGTTACTGATGGATAGGGGCATTTACTGACGGGTCTACTATTTGTAAGTGGCAAACTGTAGTTTTCTCTCTCTGTATTCTTCTCATTATATTCATTAGCTTCACTATCATCGTCTGAACTCGATGAAGCGAATCTTATGTGTTTGCCACAAAATTGGGTATTTAAAGAAGAGAAAGACTTGATAGTAAGCTCGTCATCCGTCTCTTTTTTCTGCGAGGAAATGAGTAGGCCCTTCGGGCTCTTTTTAACAGATTCCGTTCTTATCTTCTCATAGCATTTTTCTAATACATCTTCTTCTGATTGCTTCGCCTTTTTAATATGATTAATATATACTCTGGACACAGGACGTAAAAAACAAAATCATGAAATGAAGATAAAAATTTGATGATAAAAACAGCAAATACTCGAGGAGGATATGCAAGATGGTTTTTCAAGAAACATTAATATTGAAGCTTTTGCACCGAGAAAAAATATAAAAATAAAATTAAACGTAACATACCCTAAGTTCTGGACACGAACACAAAGCTTTTCCCTGCTACTGACAGATTGCTTCTCACAAATAAAATCCAAAAAGGTATCAACTCTAATTTCTGTTTTCTTGTGAGTATCAATAAACTCACGTATGTAAGAAATTATCTCTTCGTTTCTTATCCTGTACACTTCTGTCACATCAGAAGGCACAGAAAAATAATGCACAACAAGTGGGTGTTGTAATAAGGGACCCAATCCCAGCTCTTCAAACTGTTCAATGCCCTCTCTCTCACAGATTGCCACTTCCATTTCATACAATGAAGTAATTCTTCTTACCTCAACAAAGCAATGCATGAATGCATTGATCTTTGATAAAGTAATGAAAAAGACAAAAGAAAACCAAACTAAAACATGTTAGATATTCAATGAACGTGAAGGAGCATTTAGTAACACTTATGCTCTGTATTAGTACTCTTGGAAAGATCAACAAAAAAGAGAACCAAAAATTCAGCATTCAATGGTTTATTGTTGGCAAACAAATTAGTTTACAACTATTGCACTGATGCTAAATGCACCGATATGCTATATATTCCAAAGACACTAAAAGCATCTCGAATCGTCCGGAGGCTCCCGGCCTCTCCCCCTCCCACTCCCTACCTCGTTTCCAACCATTCACCACCACCACCATCATCTATTCCAAAGATGACAACAACAACATTGACATTTGACAATAATAAAAATAATAATAAAATGTAATAATGATAATAATAATACAAATAATAAAAATAATATTGATAATAATAATAATACAAATAGGTAATTAAAAGTTGCAAAATAGTCTCTTTCACGATGGTAGACAAATATAAAAATTGAACTTAAAGATAATAAATTTGGAGGTTTAATGTAAAAATACTATAAAGAAACATATTTTAAAAAAACCAAAAAATAATTAAAAAAACAAAAAAAGAATAAAAGGAAACAAAAAAAATATCAAAAAAACTAAAAAAAGAAGAAGATAAAACAAAGGATATAAAGAAGCAATAAAAAAAAGGAAAAAAGGAAAAATGAAAAGCATAAATGGAAAACAAAGGAGATAAAGAAAGTAACTGACAGGCTAATGGTAAATTGATGGAAATGACCAAATAAAAAGTGTTAAATTGTTGAAACATGAGGGATTAAATCTGTTTTTGGTGAACAAGGGGACTAAATGTTAAATCAAGGTAAACTTGAGGGAAGAAAAGAGTATTTTTCCCAAAAACAAATTGAAATGTATGCAACACATACTGAAGAGCCCGTCTAGAGGCTGAGGGCCGTCCCTTATGTTTGCCACTAATTCACATTTGGTCCCATGTTCACAAAAAACACATTTGGCCCCTTAAGTTACCACATTTTACATTGTTGGTACCTTCCGTCAATAAAACATTAGTGGCTAACGGAATTGCACACGTAACGGGCATGTGCGCCCCATTCCATCAAATTATGTCAAAACCATCGAGGGACTAAAAGTGTTTGTTAAGAACTAAAGGGACCAAAGATGTTTTAGTCGTGAAGGACCATAAGTGTATTTTTTCCTGTACTTTTCTAGCCAGAATCCGTTCATTACTAAAAACCAATTAACGTAGGGGACCAAACGTGTAACGTGGTTAAATCGAGGGACCAAAAGTAATTTCTTAATGTTTTAGTCGTAAACACGATAGACAAAAAGTGTATTTTTCCCCAAGAATGTCATAAATCCGAAAACCCTCCCGAGAAGTACCGATTTTTTCTACATTGATTCGTTCCAAATAAAGGTCTTCATTTCATGAATACCACACCCAAATTTTTCAACGAAGGAAACAGAGAGTAAAACTTCACAATTTTCCATGAATATCACATAAAAAGTTTCAACATAAATGCTGCATAACTCCAAAAAGAAAAAAAAAAAGTATAGTCGGCGCACCTTCCCTTCGATGATCATTAGGTGTTTAAGCGAAGGCACTTGCTGCATTTTGAATCCCAAACTCTCCCAAGACTCTGCTTTTACCATCAACAAAGCCTCCTGCGAGACTTTCCAGGAAGAAACGTTCTGATTCGACCCGAGCAACTCAGCCCGAGCCCTAATCACCGCGTTATCGAGTTCATCAACAATCTCCCTTTGCGAATTAACGTGCTGTGGCGGAAATTTACAGCTACTGTTATTGTTACCATTAGGATGCGGTGCTTGAACATTGTTGTTGTTGTCGTAATTCAGTTGAATTGGGAAATTACTGTTGGTGAAGAGCTGCTGATTCTGTGGGTATATGTTAGGGTTTTGCAGAAAGGGATTGAAGTGAGGCCATAAATTGGGGGTTTGTTGGGGGAAGAAGAGATTGGGGTTCGGGAATAAATTAGGGTTCAGCAGATTAATTTGTTGATGTTGTGGCGGCTGCGGTACACCACAACCGCCGCCGGCGGGTCGGAAGAGCCCCGGGTGTCCGTACATTGTAGAGAGAAGAAGAGAGTTGTTAAACGCGGCACGGTGGGGGCGGAACGAAAATCCTCTATATATATAGTGTGTGAGGAATTTGAATTTAGGGTGCCATATATGTTGGTATATTTGTAAGAATACATTTTTCTCCCCTTAAGTTTACTCCAATTTAATATAGAAAATGCTATTTGCGGTCACAAAATTGCTATTCGCGGTTTCTAAAAAAACCCCTCAAAACTTTTAAAAATATCAAAAAAACCCCCAAAACTGCAAATAGCAAAAAAAAAAGAAAAAAAAATTCGAAAATTCGAAATCAAGCTTGAAGAAGGGTTGGGCTTCGATTTTTTGATGTAATTTCGACTCTTTTATGTGTAATATGCATTGGGTAGGTCGATTACGGAACCAATTTCATGTTAAAAAGCCCTACAAATCGATTTGTAGGGCTTTTTTTTTCGCAAAAAAATGGTCGAACGCCCAAGATGGGCGCCCAAGGCGTGTACGAACGCCCGTATTTTTTGGGGGGTTTTGTCAAAAACCGCAAATAGCAATTTTCAAACCGCAAAAAGCAATTCCCTCTTATAATGAGTAAAAATAGAAAATAAGCTTATTATCCAAACACTCAAAAAGTTAATCCTAAAAATAAGATGTAACAGCTTATCAACTCTTAAAACATCTTATCAAAACTTATCAACAGTTTAAAATAAGCTTAGCCAAACACGCTCTTAGTCCCTAATGTTTTTTAATGATTTTGCAGTTTGGTCCTTTTCATCGATTTACTTCTAGTCGGTCAGTTAAGTTACAAGACAGTGATAGGCAAATGCTTGATAATGTTTAGATGGGACTCCAAACGGCAAGTTACCCCGTAATAAATGAAGAAGGTAGGGATAGAAGAGTAATTGCACATCAAAACCAAAAGAAAAGAGTAACAAGGTAAAAATTTGGTTGCTAAAATAAAGTTAGAGTTTAGGCTTTTATTATCAAAACAAAAGAATCCGAGCAAGGGCAAAAAGGTCGTAAATCATCAAGGTGCTCGTGTAGTAACGAGACCTTCCGGTTGCTTCCGGAAGAAGCGCATCTAGTCCACCAAAATCAATTCTTCAAGTGATGCTCAAATAGAGATGCCATCTCAATCTATATACCAAATGGAACCAACAAAATCAAGTATTAGAGCATAAATAAACTCGACATAACTTCGCTGACAAAAACAACCTTTTACAGGGTTGAATAACTATTACATTTACATAAACAAAAAGATTTTCGATCAAAAAAAGAAAATATTTTTGAAGTGCAAAGTGAAACTAAAAGCTAAATATTTCAACCCAAAAAAGTCAAGAGTCAACTTACAGCTGTCAAAGCCGCCTCAGCACCTTTGTTTCCCGACTTACCACCGGCTCGATTTAAAGCCTGCAACCATCAATCATTATGTAATTTTTTAGAGAAATCTCGTTCAGCAAGAATATAAGAAGATAACAATTTTAACAAAATCAAGGGAGGGATAAATCCAAGCAGTATATACAAATAATCAATTGTTATATTCTAGTTAATTACCTGCTCCATGTTATCGCACGTCAATACACCAAATATGCAAGGAACACCTGCAACTCATTGTAGGAAGGTCCATCGGTTTTTAGTCAAAATAATCAATAAAAAAATGTTGGAATGACAAGACGACCTAAGAAGATCTTTACGAAATCTGAGAAACCGATGTGTTTTTGCTGGTGCTAATTAATACCAATCCAAATTCAATTAATACGTCGGTTTTTTATAATACTGCAAAGTTCAAGAAACAAGGTAATGTAAATAATTATCTGTTTGTTAGGTTATTCATCGTTTCTTACGTCTTAATCAAAGAGTAAACAAAGTAATAGAAGGTTACTCAACATAATGTAAGAAAGCAACATGAATTTAAGGAGCATGGTTTTAATCTTGCTGTTACGTTATCTGGATTAGACAATTTATCCGAACAAGTTTTTCTTAGATGAACAAAAGAAAAACATGTCATAATTTGTACGATGTTTAAATACAATAAGCTGAAACGTAAACTCATAGAAATGCAATGATTCATTCTTATAATGCATTAGTAAATTCATTCGGTAGTAAACAATTTAACCTGAACTTAGACCAGCCGATAGTACTCCAGAAGCAGCTGAATTAGCCACAGCATCATAATGGGTTGTATCACCTCTAATCTACTGGCCAGGAAAGGGTTAAAAAAAGAGAAATCGATAAATAATTACATAACAATATAAGTAGTTTGCAAAAAATAACAGGACGAAAAATTCGCACGTAAAAGAACAAAACAAAGATGAAACTTGAAACTATTTATAAATTTGAAGAGAGAGAAAACTTACAACAGCTCCAATGCACACAATTGCTTGGTATTTTCGTGATTTCCCGAGTTTCTCTGCAACAATACCAATCTCAAAGCTACCAGGAACCCAGAGAACCTATTCATCCAAGCAAATTAAATATCATTTATGTGCAAAATGAATACACAAGAAAAATAAATTTCGACACTATCCATTTAACCAAAATGACAAATTTATGATCTTGTTTGAAATTCTTCACTGCCTTTTTCTTTACCAAAACGCACCATTACCACGTAAATAATAATTTCCTTTTCTGAGTGGGAAATCGGGCCATAAATTCATTGAATAAATTAGTTCTTCATGCATTTGGAAGTTTATAAAAATGTGGCAAAGACAAGTTTTATGATTATTGATAAAAGTAGTAAACGGAAACAAAAATTAGCACATGACACTAAACTACCCAAAAAGGAGACAAATAGCATTAATGAAATGATGCATTAACATTCAAACTACTAATCCAATGTTCGTTTTTAGCATAAGACATACGATACTTAGATGCATGGGCAGTAATAAAATCATAAAATGAAAACATTATAGGCAGTCGGTTTTACTAACATCAATGTCTTCTTCTTTAACAGAGTATTTCTTGAAAGTGTCCAAAGCTCCATCCATAAGCGGTCTCGTAATTATCTCGTTGAAGCGTGCCACAACCTTTATACCGAAATAGATTCGTTATAATTGAACCATTACAAACAACACATTCAAATTCCAATAAATAAAAAAAAAAAGAAGAAGAAAAAAATCCTCAGCCCAAATAAAAAACCGAAGCAGAGAAACAAACAGTAGTAACAATGGCAAAACGGGAATCCAAAAATTATGTCGAACATAAACAAATTCGTGGACAGTTGCTCAAATGTAGTAATTGTAGCAGATTGTAAGCGGTCTTTAGATTCAACAGTAATCGAAAAAATCAAAGATAATAAATAAATAATAAAGACAGCCAAAATTCGAACAAGGCAACATTACGGACAATAGCAAATCGGAGGCCCTCGGCTGAGGTCAGCGAGCCGGTCAACTGTCGAACAGCCAATGCTGGCGGTAAGCAATCATTCCTCTTCTGCTTCTCAATTCCAAATCCAAACCCTGTAAAAGAAAATGTACAACAATGCTTCACCCATCAAAAGCAACACATACAAACACAAATCAATTGAAATTAAAAAAGCCCATTCGCAATTAATTATTCGCAAGTAATGAATTTTTCTTTTTTCTACCAACCACACACATAAATAAATAAATAAATAAAACCGGAGCCCAAAAAAAAAAAAAAAAAAAAACCTTGGTGAAGGGGAGAAGCGGTGAGTGAACAAGAAATAGACGCCGTTAAATTAGTGGATTTGCAGTTACTCCATGAGTGGTAAGGTGAAGAAACGATGCGAGATGGTTGAAGATTTGTGGGATTAAGGCGTGAAGTTGGAGAAACGATAGCACAATTTCCAACAAAAGCATCCATTTTTTTTCTCTCTAAATCAGCAAATAAATGCAGAAAATGAAATCGAAGTTTCTTATTTTTCTCTGCAAATTGGGGAGTTGGTGGGGTTTTTTTGGGGGGTTTGAAACGATGATTTGTAGAGAGAGAAAGAAGAGAGAGAGAGAGAGTAACAACAGTGTGACTGTGAATATTAAATTTGAATTTGCTACAGGCCAAAATTTTACACAGACCTCATCCTGTAAATAAATATTTATGGAAAATAAAATAATTATAATATTCAAAAAAAAAAAAAAATATTAAAATCAGGGATTAATTTATTTTAATTACATGTTATTAAATTGATTTCTGTAGGATCTCACTTTCTTTCAAGCTACGGAACCAATGGAGAGCAGCAACGATTTCCGATCAATTCTGCCGTTTTTGCCGCTAATCCTCCGATCCTCCGCCGTGTTCTGGCCGCCCTCGGTGCTGGAAGCTCTCAAATCACTCTCCAAAGGTCCGATTCACAGCAATGTCAACTCCGGTCAACTCTTCGCCCTCGCCATTGACGACCTACGCAATTCTCTAGGGTTTTCCTCTCTTAATCTCTCCGCCTCCCTCGGATTCTCCCTCTTCTTCGACGACGTAAGTAGAACACATATTTCTCTTTCTTCCAGAACTAAATATTCAATTTTATTCAATTTATTTCCTTTCGTTTTAGTACTTACAGTTAAGATTGCCTCTATCTTTGATGGAAGGTTTGGGCATGAAATTAGGGCGAACAATTCATTGATTCATGTATTTTCTTGCTATTTATTGACTGAAGAAAAGTGTGCAGAATGGATTATTGAGAGTTTTTTTTTTTTTTTTTTTTTTTACTCTAGTTGATGAACAAGGATGATGCTGTGAAGTGGTTTACAGAAGTGGTTCCGAAACTTGCTGATTTACTGTTGAGGTTGCCAGTTTTGTTGGAGACACATTATCAGAATGCCGGAGCTTTCAACGAAACGGACACTGGTCTTAGATTATTCGAATCACAACAGTCAGGCATCGTCTTTCTTAGCCAGGTAAGCTTGTGTGTGTGTGTGTGTGTAGAGAAGGATCTTAAGTCTCAACTATCTCACACTAGGTTATACATTGTGATTAGGTTTTTCAATACGAATCTCATCGCCTAATTAAGAACAACCCAAGTGCACCTGGAATTTATTCGTGCTATTTTTCGGTGGAAATTTTCAGAATTGAATTTTGGTATTCCATATCTTCTTTAAATGATTTTGGGGGGCTCAAATTATAATGTTATGGAAGGGTGATTTGGCGATGTTGCAAGGCTGGTGGATATTTAATTTTGGTTGATTTCACAAGTGACGAAATTGTTAAGAGTTCTCTCGTTTCTTTTTCTTATTAAAAGGAAGGATAGTAGATCATAGCGGCAAGTTTCTTAGTTGTTAAGAGTTGTTTAAGCCATAGCACTTTGCAGCAATTGATCTTAGTAATCCGTTTCTTTGTAAAACAGGATGCATTTGCCTCTGAATCATATTTTAAAGTTGAAATACACGAGCCACTTCAGCCTTATATTCTAGAATTTTAGGTGTCTAAGTCTGCATCAAATTGCATATTTTTTCTTATTACGATATTTGCACTATGGCTGCACCAAACCACAATCTCTGAGTTTGAGGTTTTATGCTTATTTCAGGAGTTGATTGCTGCCCTTCTGGTTTGTGCTCTTTTTTGCTTGTTCCCAACCACTAATAGAGGCGCCAAACATCTTCCGCCTATCAACTTTGATAATTTATTTCTGTATGTTTTCGTCCGTCGATTATATTTCCGATATGTATATGCTTCTTTTGTTTTTTGGTTGCTTCCACGATTTTCATTTACATATTTGAGAATGTTGTAATTTAGCAGAATAACTGCAGTCTGCTTCGAATTAACCATATAGCCTGGGTTAACAGATTCGATAGACTCTAGACCAAGGTTATATTCCGAATTGACAGGAAGAAATGTGTATAATAACCCTGGAAGAACTTACTCGATTACTATGTATAATAAACTATTGATTTCGAAGCTAAAATAAAAGGGTAGATTTATTGTTAAATTGTTGCAAGTCGTATATTTGTAATGGACAGTGGTTAGTAGTAAACAGACAGCATTTTCTGTTTTTCCTCGTTCAAGTCTTTATCATGTTCCTTATAATATTGTTTATCATATGAGATTTCTGAGGCATGAGTTCTGATCCATGTCTCTTTTCTATTCGCAGATGTCTATACGAGTACTACGATGTGAGTCAAGAAAACAAAATAAAGTGCATCCTCCATTACTTTGAGAAGATATCCTCGGATATGCATGTGGGTAATGTCTCGTTTGAGCGTAAAGTTCTCCCTTTAAAGAATAATCCATCTTGCATAGTTTACCCAGAAGCTGATTTCTGGAGCAACTCAACCCTTTCTCTTTGCATGTTCGAGGTAATGGTTTCTAAATGATTAATACGTCTGGATATTTTTTTTTTTCATTCAATAATGGCTTTTATTTTGCATCAAAAAAAAAAAAATAATGGCTTTTATTTAAAATTCTATGGTAGGTTTGCACTTCTGGCTTAATTGAAGATCACTTAACCGAAGCCCTCGAAGTAGATTTCGCCAACAAATACCTCGGAGGCGGTGCTCTAAGCCGAGGCTGTGTACAAGAAGAAATCCGTTTCATGATCAATCCAGAATTAATCATCGGCATGCTTTTCTTGCCTTCAATGGCTGATAACGAGGCTATCGAGATAATCGGTGCAGAAAGGTTTTCAAACTACACCGGCTATGCCAAGTCATTCCGTTTTTGCGGAGACTATGCGGAGAAAAAGAGCTGCGATACAATGGGAAGGCGTAAGACAAGGATAATTGCAATCGATGCTCTTTGCAACCCTGGAAAGAGACAATACAAACTCGAATTCCTCCTTCGTGAAACTAACAAGGCCTTGTGTGGCTTTCTTGATACTAACAAAAGCCGACAAAATAAAATGCCAATTAATGAAATCGGAAACGATATTGCGATTGGTGTTGTGACGGGTAATTGGGGGTGTGGTGCGTTTGGGGGAGATCCTCAAGTTAAAGCTGTGATCCAATGGCTGGCGGCTTCTCAAGGACTAAGGCCTTTCGTTTTATATTATACATTTAATTTGGAGGCGTTGCAGAAGCTTGAAGAGGTAGTACAGTGGATTATATTACACGAATGGACTGTGGGCGAGCTTTGGAATATTTTGGTGGAGTATTCGAATCAAAGACTGAAAGGAAAAACTAAGGTTGGTTTTTTCAGTTGGCTTCTTCCGTATTTATACAACGATGATCCAATGAATTTCGATTAACGGTTTCGAGAATTCTTCTTGTACATCAAAGTTTGCCCTTTTTTTTTTTGAAGTATGTTTCCATTGTAGATATAATGAACAAACTTTAATTGACATGGTAAGTTTAGCATTTGGGTAGTGATTAGGGCATGTTTTGCAGGTCAGTTGGTACTAACGTATGTTGTACCTTTTAATTATATTTCAAATATTGTTACCGACGGAGACAATATATTCAACAGACAGGTCTCGTCGATGTTACATGTGGTGAAATATACGAGGTCGTTCTTCACCTTCAGTTTGCAAACAGACATATTTTACCCAAGAAGCATACCAAATGAGGTTCTATTTTCGTAATAAAATTGTGTGATGTGCTTTTTTTTTTCTTTTACGCAAACTTGAATCTTGAATTATAAGACGACAAACTTGCGCCTTGCTCATAACAACGACAACAAACTTATGCCGATTATAGACACACGTTGTTATGGGGATGTGAACCTTCTTAGGGCGATTTTTTTTTTTCGACCAAATTTTGTGTTTCGATTCAACAAAATCCACACCAACTCCTCTTTACTGTATAGTCTATAAGGCGTAAGCTTATATATAACTGGACAAATTTTGGGTTACTATGATTAATCCCTAATTTAAGTCTAAAAATTAAAAATGCTAATGAATTGAATCAAATTTTGATAAAATTAAATGCAATGAGTGTACATATAAAAGTGGAGTTGTAGGATTTTTAGTTAGAACTTAGAATTAGGGTGTTTAGAGAAATGATATGAGATTTGAAGTTGTACGAAGTAATTACAATCACCTTTCAATTATGAATTTTATTACACGTTCACTTTTGTGAATAATCTTCTAAATTTCATGAAATGTTCTCTAGTTTGTAGTTTGTACTCGTTTTATAAAAAAATGCGGTTTCTGATGCACCACAATCTAATATTTATACGCTAGAGACACATCTTATGATCATCTTGCTTCAAAATGTGGAGCTCGAATGAGGTAAAACGGGTAAAAACTAGAGAATATTCTATATAATCTAGAATATTCCCTTAATTTTGACACTGCAAGAGTGGGCGTGTAAGAAAATCCGCAGTTGATGGTGGTTGTAATTACCCAAAATAGAAATGATTTTTTTTCCATAATTTGAATTTTCGTTAGGATGGCCGTAATTTTCCGAAGAAAAATAAAGGGTAAACTACGAACCCCCCCCCCCCCCCCCCCCCCGAACTTAGGCTAAATAACAAAAAACACCCCTACCTATCCGTAATAACCAAAACCTCCCTCTCATTAGCTGTTGACTGAGTTTTTTAACAAAAAAATGTGTACAGTCTATTAAATGGATGAGTCCCTCTTTAAGAAAGTCCCCGAGAGGGCTTGTGTACTGTAAAAGGGTTGGTGTAATACGAAAACAAATCTTAGGGTTTTTTTTTGGTAATTACGAATAAATGGGGTATTTTTCATTGTTTAGCCTAAATTTAGGGGGTTTTCGTAATTTAACCAAAAATAAAATAACTAGAAACATCACACTATCACTCTTATCAAAAACCTCTCTAAAACCATTTCCACTTTTTTTATTATTATTAATTCGTCAAATTCAGAATATCAAGAACCAGAGGAAAGAGCTAAAGCACCACTCAAATTCCCCTCTCCGTATGTACACCGAATCTTCTTTTTTTATCCGGTTTTTTTTTTTTTTTTTTTTTTTTTTTTTTTTCTGTTTAATTCCGAGATGGGTTTCGTTGATTTCTTGCCACGATTGAATTCAAACTGTTATGTAATGGATTTCTTTGTTTCTTGTCATGATTTTGAAGGTAACACTTGTTTTTGCTTGCTTTTATATATGACTCTTGTTTTTTTGCTTGATGGGGTTTCATTCGCTTAACTATATGTTGTAATGGTACAAAAATTAGGGCACAAAAAATTGCATTCTTGAATGGCTGCTCAGGGAATGGAGCTAAAGATTCAATTTTTATTCACTCCTCTGAATAACAAATGTGTAATAAGACCAACTTCTCTTTGTTGGCCTTTGAACTTCACTCGACCGAAACCCGTAAAGCTACTACCTCTATCGGTACTTTTTCGTCACTCCATTTTCGGTTCTTGATGATTTTTAAATAAAAGTTTACAATAAGTTCTATATCGTTCTCGAAAAATGTGAAACAGGGTGTCGGCACAAGGAAAAGCCGAATAAATATTTCCAAAATCGAAGAATTACTAAAGCTCGGTAGCGGAGATGAAGATGACGACGACGACGAAGAAGAAGAAAAGTCGAGTGGGAATAGAAACGAGGACTCGTTTGTGATGAATCCCGAAGAGAGAAAAGAGTGGAGAAGAAAGATTAGAGAAGTGATTGATAAAGCTCCGGATATTGAAGAAGAGATTGATCTTGTTGAGAAGAGGAAAAAAATGCAGAATCTTTTAGCTCAATATCCGCTTGTTGTTGACGAGGAGGATCCCGATTGGCCGGAAGATGCCGACGGGTGGGGCTTTAATTTGGGTCAATTTTTTAATAAGATTAGTATAAAGAATGTGAAGAAAGAAGACGACGAGGGTTACGATAGTGAGAATGAAGTAGTATGGCAAGACGATGATTATATTCAACCGATTAAAGATATTACTAGTGCTGAATGGGAGGAGGCGATTTTTAAGGATTTTAGCCCGTTGGTTGTTTTCGTTCATAATCGTTACAAAAGGTAACTAATTCTTCAACTTCTTTTACTTGTGAATAGTATTATAGTTCATCGGCATTTAAATTTTGGGATTATTGAAAAATTGGATTATGATTTATGCCGTAAGTTTAATTAGTTAGCAACAAGGATGAACATAATCATAAGCCCCACTTTCGATTTTAACCAAATTAGCATAATTAAGTTGTGTAAACGAGGTTTTATGATTTACATTTTCGACTTTCATAATAAGTATTTGAATATCTCAGACCAAAAGAAAACGAAAAGATTCGCGACGAATTAGAGAAAGCTGTCCATATCATTTGGAACTGCAGGCTTCCATCACCAAGAGTACGTAAAAGCTTCTTTCTTGATATATATATATATATCTTCAATTTCGATATTTTACTGACGGGCATTAGCGAACAGTGTTACGCAATAGATGCAAACCTAGAGCTCGATTTGGTCTCTGCACTACAAGTGTCTGTTTTCCCAGAGCTCATATTCACTAAAGCGGGAAAAATATTATACCGTGAAAAAGGTGAATTCCACATTGTTCTGTCAACCATTTTAACCACGAGAATGCTATTTTCTATATTTAGCTAATTTATTTTTTATTTATTATTTATTTCCAGCAATCCGAACAGCTGACGAGCTGTCCAAGATAATGGCATTCTTTTATTTTGGAGCGGCCAAACCCCCGTGTCTGAATGGAGTCGACCACATCGAAGAACCAATTCCTACTCTTTAAATCAGCATATAATTGCAACATTCATGCAATATAGTTTTTGCTGAAAATGGTCGAGAAGTATATTATTTCTAGTTCTAAAATTTTTGTTATGAAAAGCCATCAACTTTTTCGGAACTTCCTCAGGTAATAAATCACTATTTTTCCCTTTTGAATGATATTTTGATTAATTTAAATTAAATTCGTCATAATTTATGTCATAAGTCGCCTTCTTGCAGATCCCTATGGCTGGAAAAGTGGTAAATATGTGGAGTCGAACGAGCATCGGAAAACATTCACCAGAATATGAGCTTAGTGTTGGTATTTGTAAATATTTTTCTTTCAAAAAAAAAAAAAAACTATTCGAAATGGCAAACAGCTTCTTATTCAAGTTATCAAGAACAGAGTTTTATATTTGTTTAGAGTACATTTTTACTAGGAAATTGCAAAGGGCAGAATAGTAAAATCACTCGTTGGACTTTCCGCAACAGCAGAAGGCTTTATGGTAATGGTAGCGAAAGGCAAAAAGCTGGAGAGGATTGGAGCCATCAAATGCACAGTCAGCAACTCCGAGCGTTCGTTTCTCTGTCTTCTCCACAAAAACTGTAAGACATTTTCTTGTACTATGTGAAAACCAGAATCTAAATTCTCGATGATTTAATTTCTTTGGTGGATTTATCGATTTCCAATCTGCGTCTCCCAAATTACTCAGTTTTTCCAATGCTCTAAGCTTCACATTTCCATGTTTGTCGACCGTAAGATATGTCTCGTCTGAGCATTTGTCCATGTAGTTTCTGAATCTGTTTATATATATATATATATATACACACACACACACACATATATATACATATCAAGAAAGTTTATATGAGTTCATCGATGTGTATTCATGGTGAATGTGTGTGTGTGTGTGGATTGGGCTAATGACACATACTTCTCGTAAAATTAAGTATAATTACAACTAGATCACTTCAAATTTGGAAAATTATATTTTGATTTGTACTGTAATTAACTCCATTTAAGCATTGACTTTCTTGAAAATTCCGATTTTATCCTCGACTAAATATTGAGTAAATTGCATTGCCGTCCTCTGAGATTAGTTAAAATTACATATAGACCCTCATTTACGAGAAAAATGTTGCAAAATCCCCCCTTTAAAGTTTACTAAAAATCCAACTAAATTTCACTAAATTACATTTTTGCTCCCTTCAAAATATATTTGTAAAGAAAAAAGCATAACCAATTATTTTTAATTTTTTTTATCTCCACTTTTTAACAAATCAACGCTAAAATAGACCTAACTTAGAGACGAGGGTCGTGTAGTTTTACGAAAACCAACATTTTAGCAAGGGTAAAAAGGTCATTTTGATTACCTGTGATAACCAGAAGTGGAACCGGAAGTAGATTCCCATCCGAAGTAAGTATTATTTACGACAACAGGCACAGAATAAACGCCTCTATCATTTGAACTCACGTAATCGGACTGTAATGCCCCTGCAATAAGAGTGTTGTCGAACGCAGTCATGTGTGGATACGCGTCACTAGGAGGACATTTATCCGTATCGCACGCTCTACATTGGCTGCAGAGTCGATCTCGTTTTTTTCTATCTCCTTTGCCGTACACGATGGCTGGTTGAACAACTATAAGAACAATAATTGCAAGAGAAAGGTAATAGTTCTTCATTTTTTTCTCCGAATTTATTTTTATCTTTTTTGTTTTTGGGGTTCTTTTTTTCGATTTTGATTCTTTTAATACAATGTACCCGTTTCTTAATTTCATCAATTTTATCGCACTATTTCTTTTTTAATTTTTTTTTTGTCCATGACAATTGACATTGAAGTTAACTACATTGAAAATGAACCATGTCTTATTTGATTTGGCAAAAGCATAAACATACGTTGCCGTTCGTACTGCATTAGTGTCGTTTTTTTTTTCTGCTTTCTTTTTTAGGATTTTTTCGTTTGTCGTGGTTACGATTTCTTGTGTACATACTGCAAATTATACGAGAGATGTAGGGATTCGAACTTGGATCAATTGATACAAGTTCACTTGCTCCAACTGCTAGATCACCCCATGGGAGACAATGTAACATATATTTGATTTATATATTGATGTACTTGTTGGGTGCTATTTTGGAAAATTAATTGAAATAAATTAAGTGGTAATAAAAGAAATTTTTATATTGGATAAGGCAAATTATCTCAACAAAAGAAGTTAATAATAATTTGAATTTGTTGAAATTGAATGGATCAACCCAACAACTATGTTAATTGGTCAAAGTTGGGCCAATTAAGTAGATGAGGATGAGATGAAGGTGTTGAGCAAATCAAATAACACCTTCTATATATTAATAATATAATAAAATCAATGTCAATTAAATTGTGTCATGTGCAATTAAATATAGGGGTAATACATTATCAACCCATCAAATCAAACTTAATTTTAATTAAATAACAATAAAAAATTCTATTTTTTAATTGAATGCTCAATTTAAAACAATCTACCATCTTCAGTTATTTCTATGTTACACAAAGTGAATGTTACATCTGATGATTTTTTCCCGTTAATCTACACACATCAGTGTACGTGGCTGTGTATGTGTTTGTGTGTTTATGAATAATAAGGATCTATCCGGTGTATTTCATCGATCAGGTGCAGCATCTTTAATTTTTTATCCCAAACTTTCCTTTATACCTAAATCTTCTAATCTACATATTTAAGTTTCACCCACTCGAATTTATTTATCTTTAATCTTCTTTGGTCTTCTCTCTCTCTCTCTCTCTCTCTCTCTCTCTCTCTCTCTCTCTCTCTCTCTCTCTCTCTCTCTCTCTCTTTCGCTTTCTTTATCTCTCTCTCTCACCGTCGCAGTGGCTTGAGGGTGGTCATGGCAGCGACTATGGTGGGTGACGGTGGCAATGTCTGTGGTGGATACGGTGGGGGTGGTTATGGGCGCGACTATGGAGGTGGTAGATATAGTGGGCGTTATGGCAGCTACTATCACGGTGACGGGAAAAGATCGGATAAAAATAATCATAACGAAATTATACGCATAAATCACGACAATGAAATTCACACAGACAAGTGCACACGTAAATATATCAATAATATATCTTCACCGAATGTACATTTTTCGAGTGTAACATAAATTTGACGAGAAAAGCGTAAACAACAAATTATGAACTTATAGAATCCATTACACAATTAGAGAACAAAAAACTTTCTTTTTTGTGTCTCTAATTTTCACTTATTTCCAAGAACAAAGTATCTCCTATTATTTACATGGACATAATAAATAAGCACCACACAAAAAAAAAAAAACAAAAAAAAAATAAAAAAAAGAAAAAAAGAATAATAATATTCAAAGAGGACTTATGCACCGGTGACACATGAGAACATCCTGTGGCTTCTAAACCTCACAAGTTGCTTTGACTTAGCAGCCTCCTCCTCCTCCTCGAAACCCCTGGCGGCACCACCACCGGCAACATGCACCGAGTTGTACCTCCGGTGGTGGGGCGGCCCACCGAGGCCCGGAACCTTATCGGGCCCTGCGATAACATAATGATCACCTTCTCTAACGTAGAAATCCGATATGTTGTAAGCCTGTGCAGCACCGGTAGAGAGGCACTCGTAATTCCGACGAGTCTTGCTCTTCTTTAGAGACTTGTACATCATTGGAATCAATCCTTCCATTCTTTTTTTCCTTCACCTAATTTCTTTTTTCTTGAGGGATATAAATATATGGATTTCAATTTGGGGTAATTGTATTATTGGGTGTGGGTAAATTAAATGAGATCAATTACATTATTTGAAAGACTTGTAATTGGTTTTATTATATGGTTTTGGTGGGAATAATTTGATCAAGTCTTTCTTCCACACTTAGACTTTTACAATATCAATATATATATGATAATAATTATAACATATTGGAGTTGGAAGCTAACACACGTTATTTGACTTGGGAGAAATCATAATACAAAATGGAAAGAAACATACAAATTGCCCCACAACGGTGCAGTGTTATTTGACACGAGTTCGAATTCCCTTGCCAACAGTACTTTTCAGATCGCAATTGATTACCATAATTTATATCTTCTTTCGTATGATTTGCAAGTTATAGCAGTATGTACAGTGCATCACGCCCTTAGAATGATTGCGGGTTCAATCTCTTAAAAGAACAAAAACATATACAATAGAACATCGATAAATTAATAACCTCACTTAAATAATAGTTTCTTCTGGTCCTGACTCGGTAAAAACCTACTAAATTATATTAATAGAATCTTGCTCGTCCGGAACTATTAATTTATAGAAATTTAACTGTAAATTGTAATATGCAATACATATATGATGTCATAATATTGGAGGGGTACTTAGTTTTTTTTTTCAACAAATATTATGAATTTAAATCTCATAAGATACTTTAGAATTTAAATGATGTTATAAGATAATATTTGATAATGATAACTTTAATTAATGACAAGAGTGAAATTTTAATGGATATACTTTTCTTCTTCTTCAAGAAATGTCAAAAGAATTAAATTAGAACCATGGGCGGCTTCATATATATTCTGATCAGAGATGAAAGTATTACACACGTGCGTGATTCATGCTTACTATGATGAAGTTTATCTAATTAATTGAGCATTTTGAACAAACACTCTTAATAACATTGAATAAATAAATATTAATTAGGAAAAAAACATAATAATTGTTAATAATAATAATAATAATAATAATAATAATAATAATAATAATAATAATAAGGGGCTCTTTGAGAAAACCCCCTCATTATTTTTTTTAATTGAGGGAGGCCCAAAATATTTTAGTCCATTTGAGAAAAGTCCACACCCATTTTCAGCTATTATGCTTTCCAGCTTTGTCCCCACCCGCCACATCATCAGTGGGTCACGCTCAGCAATTTTTTTTTTTTTTTTTTTTTTTTTTTTCCGTTTTTTTTCTTAATCGACTATGAAGCATAGTCGATTAAGCCTTAATCGACTATGCTTCATAGTCGATTAAGGAAATTATTTAATTTTTTTTTTTTTTTTGTTTTTTTAATTTTTTTTTTCTATATCAGGTGTATTAATCGACTATGATGTGAAGCATAGTCGATTAAGAATCTGCTACTAAAAATAACAAATCACAACTGCGAAAAAAATACAAAATCAACTATATATTACCAAAACAAAAAAATATACAAATATTATAAATGATTTATACAATTGAAAGCAATAAACAAAAAATCCAAAAAAAATAAAAAAAATTGGAGTCGATGAACCTTAATCGACTACCAGAGCATAGTCGATTAGCTTAATCGACTATGAACATGTACATAGTCGATTTAGGTTTCATCCACAAAAAAATCAAAAAACAACCTCCCCTTCGTCACCACACCACCCAGAGCTCCTGCCATGGCCGAACCCGTCAGGTTTTAAGAAAAAAAATTGGCAATTCATCAAAAAAAAAAAAAAGAAAAAGCTATGGAAATTGAGCATCAAATTATAGTGAGGGGTGAAGAGGAACAACAAACAAAGCAGCAGGTACAACTCATCAATCCACCTTCACCTTCATCCTCACCCTCCCATGAATTCTCCTTCACCATCTCCCTCCACCCGCCGCCGCAACCGCCGCCGCCACAACCGCCGTCCGACATTAACACCAACAAACCAAAATCCCCTCCTCCAATCGCCGCCATCGATTTATCTCCGGCGGATGAAATCTTCTTCCACGGCCACTTACTCCCCCTCCACATCCTCTCCGGCGGCGGCGTTGGTCAACGGAGGCACCTTTCATCATTTTGGCAACGGTATCAGTGGACGGCAGAGGAGAGATAGTGGTGGTGGTGAACTGGGGAGGAATGAAGAGAGAGAAATGGGGTTGTTTGTTGATGAACGGTGAGCCAGGTTGGCAGCGGCGACGGGGGCGACGGTGATGAGAAGATTTGTCGGAGAAAGAAAAAAAAAAAAAAAACAAAGAACACGGCAGAAGAGAAGCAGAAGACGAGAAGATGAGAAGACAAGAAAAAAAAGAGAGAACGGCAATGGGTTAGGGGTAATAAGGGTGGTTTGGGAATTATTAAATAATATTTGGGTAGGATATTAGGTAAGGGGGTTTTCTCTAATTATTTTTGGGAGGGGGGGTTTTCTTAACTCATTTACCTAGATGAGGGGGGTCTTGCTAATTATCCCTAATAATAATAATAATAATAATAATATAAATTATAGTAGTGTATATAACTTGCTTGGTTATTTCTTCTATTTCTTAAATGGGTGCAAATTTAGACCGGATGGCCTGTTTTAATAGAAAAATCGGATGCCATAAAATGATTGACACGTGGATAGTTTAAATAAAAATTTCAATTAAGATTCTAATAATTGGAAAAAAAGAAAAAAAAAAGAAAAAAGAAAACCCCAGCATAACCCGTAACCCGTCTAACCCTAATTATAATAGCGTGATTTATTAAGAGTTATGACTTAAGAGTGCCACATGTCAAAAGATTAGTGGAATCCGATTTATATTAAATATCGGCTGATCCGTCAGAATTTAATATCTTCTTAAATTAATCAAACAATGATAATATCTTCTTAGGTTTTTGATTCAGTCAAACGTAGTTAGCAGTTTTCCTAACATTTGCCAACTCATCCTTTATCCATCATTTTCAAGAATATAATATATATTTTATTTCTAATTTCAATTTATACATTTAACTATTTAATTTATTTCTGGCTTCTGTTCATTCTTGAATAAATGATTATAAGGGGAACGGAAATTGACTTTCATCCTTCGAGTGGGGCATGGAGAATTACAATTTTCAACCCTCATGTTTGGCCCAATTATACTTTTGGTACCCCTTGTTTTAAAATGAACAAATTTCACCTCCAATGTTCAATTTTAAAAACATTTGGTCCCCTCTGTTATTTAACGAAAAACACTATTTTGGGAAAATTTAAAATTATTTTGGGACTGGAAAATAAACGAATACTGATGAATTATTTTGATAAATGAAATAAAAGTAATAAACTCGTGGTTATTGGCATTAAAGTCAACTAGTAATTGTACCCGTGCGATGCACGGGACAACAAATTGCATTGTTTTGATGTTGTGAGAATATAAACAAACGTTTGATGTATCGAATTGTCAAAATTCTATTATAGTCATTCATTAATAATTCATCAGTGGAACATTACTAAGTATACTACACACACAAAAAGAAAAAAAGCAAATAACTTTACTGTTGAATAATTTTCCAAATGAATTGAATCAGCTAATATCAGTAGATTGAAAATTTGAACCAGGAAAAAAACCATCAACTATGTCTTTCATGTTGAGCTTAAAAGTAATTAGATTTAATAACTTAGTTAACATAATCAAAACTAAACTCGACAACATACCATCGTAAAAGGTCATCTATACATCTTGCATCGGAACTAAGCCCTTCTCCACTGTCTCGTTTTGGTCCTGTTTTGCCACTGGAATTAACAATTAGAAAATTAAGAAACAAAAATAAATATAACAATAAATTAAATATCGCATACAAACAATAAGTCTTGAGGGTCGACTTCCAATTGCTTGTGGTTCCGCCCATTTTGGTTAGTTCTCTCAAATCATCCTTTTCAATAACATGTCTAATAACATCTAAATTGAAATAATTGTTATACATAAAATTTGAGTGGTATAAATTAATGAAACACAAAATTTAACAAAATGAAATTACCTATAAGCCATGATGGAAAAAGATGTAAACTAATTACTACCCAGTCAATAGGAGGAAGAAGAAAATAAGAAAAAAAATCTAAAGTCGGGTTACCAAAAGAAAAAACCTAAGGTAGGGAAGAAATAATATTCAAATGTTGCAGATATTCTGTAAAACGATGTCATAAAATCCGCTAGGGATGAAAATCAGATTTGTTTACCCTTTTCTGTAAAATCGAAAATCAGATTTGATGAAAATCGATAATAATATTTAAAATAATGTTAATGAGATAAGAGTTGATAAAACATGAAAATACTAATTAGAATACTATTTAGGAGATAAAATATGATTAAAATCAAAAATATTATTTAAAATAATATTTAGGAGATAGAAATTTGATAAAAAGGGAAAATAATATTTAGGAGACAAAAATCTGATAAAAAACGAAAATAATATTTAGGAGATAAAAAACGAATAGAAACATGATAAAACTCGAAAAAAATATTTAAAATATTATTTAGGATATATAAATTTGATAAAATTCAAAAATAATATTAGGAGATAAAAATCTGCTAAAAGTTGAAAATTATATTTAGGAGATATAAATTTGATAAAATTAAAAAATATTATTTATAATAATATTTAGGAGATAATAATTTGATAAAAATAAAAAATAATATTTAGAAGATAAAAATCTGATAAAAATAAAAAATAATATTTAAAATAATATTTAGGGGAAACAAACATGATAAAATTCGAAAATAATATTTAAAATAATATTAAGGAGATAAAATTTGATAAAAATTGAAAAAAAATTACAAATATGACATTAGGGTTTCTTAGGGTTGCCCTAGCGTTTCTTTCTTTTATATATAAGATTTAAAATAATATTTAGAGGATACAAATATGATAAAATTCAAAAATAATATTTAAAATAATATTAAGGAGATAAAAATTTGATTTAAAAATGAAAAAAAAATTACAAATTTGACATTAGGGTTTCTTAGGGTTGCCCTAGCGTTTCTTTCTTTTATATATAAGATATCTAGGAGATAAAAAATTGATAAAAATCGATAATAATATTTAGGAGATAAAAATTTGATAAAAAATCAAAAAATAATATTTAGGAGATAAAAATCTGATAAAAATCGAAAATAAAATTTAAAATAATAGTTAGGAAATAAAAATTTGATAAAAATCTAAAATAATATTTCAAAAAATGTTAATGAGATAAAAGTTTATAAAATACGAAAATAATAATTAGAATAATATTTAGGAGATAAAATATGATTAAAATCAAAATTATTATTTAAAATAATATTTAGGAGATAAAAATTTGATAAAAATCGAAAATAATATTTAGGAGA